ATATATAAAGAATTATACAATGAAGGCTGGTGCTGTGATCTGAAAAAAGTAATGGATTTTCACTGTATATGTAATTGGAGTTCCTCAAAGAGTAAAATAAAACACATACTTTAAGTGATTATTAAAGAGGCTGGTATTGCGGCATAGCAGGTTAAGCCTCTGCCTGCAACGCTGGAATTCCATATAGGCACCATTTTGAGACCTGGCTGCTCCACTTCTGATCCAGCTCCCTGCTGATGTGCCTGGGAAAGCAGCAGAAGACAGCTCAAGTCCCTGGGTCCCTGCCACCCACATGGGAGACTGGAAGAAGCTCCTTGCTCCTGGCTTCAGACCAGACCAGCCCAGCCCTGGCTGTTGTGGCCATTTGGGGAGTTAACCAGCTGCTGGAAGATCTCTGTCTCTCCTCCTCTCTCTGTAACTCTGCCTTTCAAATAAATAAAAAATAAATCATTTAAATTAAAAATAAAATGAAAATTTAAAAAATGACAATTCAGTGAAAATGTGCCCGAGACAGAAGGAAGAACACTTGAATCTACATCACTGGGCCTACAATGCCTGGGAGATTTAACGCTGAGTTATAATCCAGTACATTTGTTGAACTCTAAAAATAGACTCCCATGGCAGCCACACAAAAAGACTGAGTCACTTAATGAAAAAGAGCAGAATGTTCCATGCCAGAAGAGAGCAGAGTTAGACCAACAGAAAAGTCCTGGATGGGGCGTGTGAGCCATGGACGGTGAGCCAGTGCTTTTATAAACAGCAGAGGAACGTGGACGAACTCGGGGACATCTATGTCACAAAAACTCTCCCCAGGAGCTTAGGAGATCACCTCCATCCAACTAAGAAATGACTGCAGAAATTTGTCAGAAGGATTATCAACGAACATCGACTATAATTAACTGTAGATCTCAGATGGAAAAAGTTGGGGGTAAGAATGACAAAATGAAACAGAAGCGCCGGCGCCGCGGCTCACTAGGCTAATCCTCCACCTTGCGGCGCCGGCACACCGGGTTCTAGTCCCGGTCAGGGCGCCGGATTCTGTCCCGGTTGCCCCTCTTCCAGGCCAGCTCTCTGCTGTGGCCAGGGAGAGCAGTGGAGGATGGCCCAGGTGCTTGGGCCCTGCACCCCATGGGAGACCAGGAAAAGCACCTGGATCCTGGCTCCTGCCATCGGATCAGCGCGGTGCGCCGGCTGCAGCGGCGGCCATTGGAGGGTGAACCAACGGCAAAGGAAGACCTTTCTCTCTGTCTCTCTCTCTCACTGTCCACTCTGCCTGTCAAAAAAAAAAAAAAAAAGAAAAGAAAAAAGAAAAAAGAAACAGAAGTGATATGTGCTGTGACAATATAGAAATTGCAAACCTAAGGAGAGAAAATACAGAAGGAGCTAAGAAGGTAGAAACTTGCTCATTGCCTTGTAAACTGACCAAAAGAGTACCATTTAAAACTGGTAAATCTAGTTATGAAAATTAAGAGCTGTTGGTTAAAAGCAGGAATTCCGAACAAGGGAGAGAGAAGAGAGGAGTTGACTGCATGCAGGTCAGAGACCAGAAGGATAAGTGGGAGAACAGAGAGCGATCCAGAAACAGGGAGGAACTAGAAGACAGAAGCGAGATTTACTAAGAAATGAGTCTAGTTTGTTGTTGCTTAAGTGTGTAAAATTGTTTCTTAGCTTTGGGCAAAGAATCTTTTAATGAAGCAGTTTTTTCTTTTATTCAAAATTTCACTTGGAGGCGCCTCTGTACACCAGTCACAACCTGCTGCCCAGTTGGTCCTAAGAAATCTTATTTGCTTCTGAAGTGCTGCTCAAATGAACAATTTGTTCAACTCAAATATTCCCTGGAGTGGCTATTAAAGGCCCAAATCATCCTTGAAGCGGTGCCACTTAGGAAGACAGTGCACAAGTTAGTTTTGTGAATTTAAGAAGCAGATTTTCCCAAATTAGAAGAACATCTAGACCTAGAATTCTCTGTTCAAGGTCACCATCATCAATAGGAAAGTAATTCTTGTGCACCTGGTGCCTTAGGGTTCCACAAGTTTTAACTGGCTACCTCAGAACACACACCCAACAATCTGTGCTCCCCAGCAGGTGGGAAACCAGAGAGAATCCTCTCTCTCCAAGACAAAAACTCCAAAGGGAAGCAAAACTTACCTGGTTTTATTAGTGATCCACAGCAAAGGTCGTCAAGTGGATATCCAGAGGGAGAGAATCAGAGGCTCACTGGCCTGTGAGGTCAACTTGAACAGGCTTATAAGGGCTGCACCTGTGCCCATGGTTCTGCTACTTAGGGTAAACACTTTGCAACTGCATGACACAAACTAACATGAAAGAGAGCAAAAAGGAATGAAAGGAAATGGCTTGACTGCACCAAAGATGCAAAAGGGACCCAGTGACAAAACCCAGGTGCCAACCTGAGGATAAATAGCTGGGGAGCTCAACACAAAGAAGTTCAGAGCTGCCTGCCTGCCCCCGTGCAGACTCAACAAAACCACTAGCGTCCAGGTGCAAGGAGCCCCTGCAGATCCCACACCTGATCGGTGGCTGGGAGTCCTTAGCAACAAGCAGTGCAGGTGGTAATTTGGCGGAGCCTCCGGGAAAGCCATGGGCACAGTGAAGGCCACCCGAGTGAGAACAAACGGAAACGATTTATTCAGAGCTCTCTACAACGAGGCAGTCGGCCACCATCGCTTGGATTTGTCAGACTCAAAGACAGGAAAGGGTACAGGAAAGGCGTATAGCGACAAAAATGGAGAGACTCAAGTCTGGTCTCATTTGAAGTTGTTATTGGGGGAAAGCTGGAGACAGGCTAACCGGAGGTGAGACATCCTGTGTGATTAGTTGGGGTGTATTTGGCTTAATAGGGTTTGTCCTGAGCTGGAAGCAGACCCTGAGAGACAGGACGACTGCTCAAGTAGCTGGATCTCTACCACCCACGTGGGAGACCCAGATTGAGTTCCTGGCTCCCGGCTTCAGCCTCAGTCTTTGTGGGTGTTTGAGCCTTGTGATTTTTAAGTGAATGCTCCCAAGCTAGGATGCTGCGACACTAAGCTGCTTATTTAGTATCTGGTCCTGGGAACCCTCTCCTCTGCCCACGCTGACTACTTAGAAATCAGTTTACATATCCTCATCAGAGTGGCCCACTCTCGCCCCCTTCTGGTGAGGCAAGGCCAGGCAAATTTTAGCTACCAACCCCATCTCCTTAGAGGAGGAGGCTCTGAACCACTCCTACCCCCACCTTAGACTCCACCAGTAGGGAACCGGGAGGAGCTATTGTCAGAGTCCCACCATCAGGCGTCCCCTTGCTCCCTCCTGCACTCCTAAAAGCTTCCCTTCTGGCAAAAGGGAAAACTCAGCCTCTGTGGACAGAACCCACTGGGCCCTCTCTTTTCCGGAGGTCACAGAGCCTGTGAGGCTACTCCAGGAGCCTGCTCTGTGCTGTTACCATGTGAAGCCTGCACTCCAAGCTGCCTCACGACTAGTTGGTTGTCCACCTTGCAGTTCTTTAGGCAGAGGCCAAAAATGCTGATGATCTTGGATTACGAAGGCTCAGCTTAGGATTTTTTTGACTTTACAATAGCATGAAAGCAACATGCATTCAATAAAAACCATACAAGTGGCCATCTTTTTCCAAGCTAGGAATACATAGTCCAGCACTCCTTGCAATGCTGGGCAGTCAGCAGTGCACTGTCCTGCTAAACCATGCTGTTCAGCAGGCTAGGTGTGTTAAAGGCAAGTTTGACTTAGATGATTTCAATTTATGATGGGTTTACTGGAACACAACCCCACTGCAAGGTGAGGAGCACCTGAACATGTCAAAGCAGAAAGTCACTTAGGCCAATACAAAACGTGCACGGTTACCTGGGAACTTTTTTTAAAAGGATTTATTTATTTATTTATTTATTTGAAAGGCAGAGTTACAGAGAGGCAGAGGCGGAGAGAGAGAGAGAGAGAGAGAGAGAGAGAGAGAGAGAGAGAGAGAGAGATCCTCCATCCCCAGATGATTGAAACAGCAGAGTTGTGCCAATCCAAAGCCAGGAGCCAGGAGGCTCTTTCAGGTCTCCCACGTGGGTGCAGGACTTGGGCCATCCTCCACTACCTTCCCAGGCCACAGCAGAGAGCTGAATCAGTGTCCATATGAGATGCTGGCACTGCAGGTGGCGGCTTTACCCGCTATGTCACAGGGCTGGCACCAGGGAATTCTTTAAAATGAACAGTGGAGGCTGGTGCTGCTCTGGCCGTTATGGCCACTTGGAAAGTAAGCCAGCGGATGGTAGACCTCTCTCTCTCTCTCTCTCTCTCTCTTTCTCCCTCTGCCTCTGTCTCTGCCTCTCTGTAACTCTGCCTTTTAAATAAATAAGACTTTAAAAAAAATCAAGGAGCACAGTGTAAGTACTAGACAACTTGGCATGATGGAAAGAGTATTGCCCTTGGGGTCAGACCGATTTGGGCACTGTGAAGCCTTGGGTAAGTTATTTGACTCTTTCCACCCTCTATTTTTTTCTTTTTTCTTTAAGGTTTTAGTTATTTGAGAGGCAGAGTTACAGACAGAAAGGGGGAGAGAGAGAGAGAGAGAGAAAGGTCTTCCATCTGCTGGTTCAGGCTTAGCACACTACGCCACAGTGGAGGCAACCACCCTCATTTTCTTTAACTATAAACAACACAAACTTCCTTCAGAGTTGTCAATATCGAATGAATTAGCAGTGTGCACATCAGGGACAGTGTTTGCCTAGCAATTAAGCCGCTGGATGGTATTCCTGCAGAGCATATCAGATGGCTTGGGCACAAGTTCCAACTCTGCTCCTGATTCCAGCTTCCAGCCAGTGTTCACCTGGGAGGCAGCAGGTGGTGGCTCAAGTAGTTGGGTCTCTGCCACCCCTGTGGGAGACCTGGATTGAACTCCTGGCTCCCTGCAAAGGCCCCAACTGGAGGCCATCTGGGGAGTGAGCCAGTGGATGGGAACTGTCTCTCAAATAATTTTAAAAAACAAAATAAACACTTTGGAATACAGTAGGGACTCACGGGTGTTAGTGGCCTTTTTACTTTGAATTCAGAATCAAATGTTAAGAAACTCTTTTTAGTAAAATAAAAATAGAAACACAGCTAAAATACATGTGAACATTCATAAAAATGCTTTATAAGACACTTCCACTTATATCAAGTATGAAGATATTTACTCAGCAGTAAAATACACATTTTAAAAATGAGTTTCATAAAGCCAAAGCTGAGGTTTTATTTTATGAACTACTTCAGGAAGAAGACAATAATTCCGAGGCTGTGAATCTATGAATGAAAGGAACCATGCTTAACCCGAGAGTCAGATTGGAAAGGCAGTCTCCTTTCCTTGGCCCTCTGGCTGTTTTGTGTGCATGTACTTCCCTTTTTTAAGATTCATTTTATTTATTTGAAAGGCAGAGTTACACAGAGAGAGATTGTCCATTTAATGGTTGACTCCCCATATGGCCATAAAGGCCATGGCTGAGCCAGGTCAAAGCCAGAAGCCAGGAACTCCATCCAGGTCTCCCACATCAGTGGCAGGGGCCCAAGGACTTAGGTTATTTTTTGCTGCTTTCCTAAGCACATTAGAGGAGAGAAGGATTGGAAATGGGGCAGCCAGGACTGGAATTGGTGCTCATATGTGATGCCAGCATCTCAGGCAGAGACTTAACCACGTTGCTCCACAAAGCCAGCCCCACACGCTTCCTTTTAGTCTGAGGTTCAAAAATGAAAATAAAGCACAGACTTAAAAAATGGAGGAAGAGGCCGGCGCCGCGGCTCACTAGGCTAATCCTCCACCTTGCGGCGCCGGCACACCGGGTTCTAGTCCCGGTCGGGGCGCCGGATTCTGTCCCGGTTGCCCCTCTTCCAGGCCAGCTCTCTGCTGTGGCCAGGGAGTGCAGTGGAGGATGGCCCAAGTCCTTGGACCCTGCACCCCATGGGAGACCAGGAAAAGCACCTGGCTCCTGGCTCCTGGCTCCTGCCATCGGATCAGCGCGGTGTGCCGGCTGCAGTGCGCCCGCCGCGGCGGCCATTGGAGGGTGAACCAACGGCAAAGGAAGACCTTTCTCTCTGTCTCTCTCTCTCACTGTCCACTCTGCCTGTCAAAAATAAAAATAAAAAAAAATTAAAAAAAATGGAGGAAGTTTTCAAGTTCTCTCTCGAAGGGAAACTGAATTTATCTAACCAATGCCTTTCCTACACGTGTCAGGCCTATCCAAGACCAAGCAATGATGTGGGTGGCATCACACTCAGAGGGTTCTTAGGACAGCAAAACTGCTCTGTGTGACACCACGATGGTGGACACGCGTCGTCCTACATTTGCACAGACCTACAGAATGGACACCGAGAGGGACCCTAATGTAAACTCTGGACTTTGAATGATGAGGCTGTGTTGGTTCATTGATAGTTACAAGTATATTCTTATTGGGCCAGATATCAATAATGGAGGAAGGCCTGTATGTGTGGGAACAGAGGAGACATGAAACTCTGAACTTTCTGTTCTAGTTTGTTGTGGATCTTAAATCTCTAAAATATAAATCTCTCTAAAATATAAAATGTATTAACTTGAAAACCAACAAATAGGGGCTAGTGCTGTGGCGTAGTGGGTAAAGCCACTACCTGCATTGCTGGCATCCCATGTGGGCAAAGGTTCCAGACCTGAGTGAGCCATTTCCAATCCAGCTCTCTGCTGGATTCTGTGGCCCGGGAAAGCAGCAGAGGATGGCCCAAGCCCTTGAGCCCCTGCACCCATGTGGGAGACCCAGAATAAGCTCCTGGCTCCTGGCTTCAGATTGGTGCAGCTCTGGCCATTGTGGTTATCTGGGGAGTAAACCAGAAGATGGAAGACTTCTCTCTCTCTTTCTCTCTGCCTCTGCCTCTCTGTAACTTTGCCTTTCAAATAAATAAATGAATCTTTTTTAAAAACCAACAAATAAATAAATAATAAAAGTGAGCCACTATCCTCCCCAGTCCACTGAACAGACTGACTTTACCTACTCAATGCATTTTCTGTGTGTGCTTTTCCTGTTAAAAATCAAGCAACAACTCCCATGGCTTAGTGCTCAACTACAGAATTTCCTCGCGTTGGTGGAGGTGCAGAATGTACTTCTGTGCTCTGACATGATGTCTTCATTTATTTCAGTACCCATAAGGTCTGTATGAATCACTGTAGAATCTTGCTAAAAATGTGGTCCTCATTCAGTAGTTTGGGTACTGGCTCTGAGAGTCTGCCTTTCTAATGAGCTCCTAAGTGGTGACTGGAGAATTCAGAAGACCTTGGGCAAATGCAGCCCCTTCCTGGCCTGGATCACTGTCTTCCGCATGCCCGGAGACGCACCAATGAAGAACAGTTCCTCTGAGCCTTGAACACACCTCTCTGTTAGTGTGATTCTCCCTCCTCTAAGTCTCAATAGCACTTTGCCTGTGGTTCTGCAAGAACATGGAATTTAGGGCCGGCGCCGCGGCTCACTAGGCTAATCCTCCGCCTAGCGGCGCCGGCACACCGGGTTCTAGTCCCGGTCGGGGCGCCGGATTCTGTCCCGGTTGCCCCTCTTCCAGGCCAGCCCTCTGCTGTGGCCAGGGAGTGCAGTGGAGGATGGCCCAGGTGCTTGGGCCCTGCACCCCATGGGAAACCAGGAAAAGCACCTGGCTCCTGGCTCCTGCCATCGGATCAGCGCGGTGCGCCGGCCACAGCGCGCTGGCCGCGGCGGCCATTGGAGGGTGAACCAACGGCAAAGGAAGACCTTTCTCTTTGTCTCTCTCTCTCTCACTGTCCACTCTGCCTGTCCAAAAAAAAAAAAAAAAAAAAGAACATGGAACTTAGCTTTTGCTTTTGCTACACTTATTCCTTTCCCTACTCTTCCTCATCTCCATTATCCCCAACCCTCAAACTGGACTAGGACCCTATTATAAGACAGTCTCATTCATAGATTAATGTGCCTTTCATTAATAGTCCTTATAACAACTCTAATTAAATATCTAAGTAATTATTTTAGGTCTCCTCTACTAAACCAAATCCATAAAGCCTGGAACAGGGCACTGAAGAAACACGCAGTTCTGAACTGCCAGATTCCAAGAGTTTGGAAAAGCACAGATGTGGAAACCAGCACAGATCAGCATCCAAAGACAACAGCATTAACCTGTATGGTCACACACCTGTTAGTTCCTACCTGACTATACATCCACTTTGCAAAACATAGAGAACTTCAGCCCATTATCCTGGCCTTCAGAATGGGTACAGGAAGAATTATCCAAACTACCTTCTAATCACAGATCACATTATTCTAGGAATTTCTGGAACATGGCAAATATAAGGAGACAGGGGGCAGAGAGTTGGTGAAACATTCAAACTTTCCCAGGACAGGGGGGAAGATGCACAACACAGGGGACAATCAAGTCTCCTCCATACTGAGACTGCCACTGCTACGATCCCTAAGTGAACTGACACTGCAGAAGCACCCAGCTCAGGACGTGGCACAGAACTGCACCAGCCCCCTCCGTGGGCCCCTGTCTAAGACACTGGTTTGATGAAGCCATAATCCATGCACTTGATGAGACATTCCCGGGCGGTCTGGACCACTGCCGCCCTCTTCTCATCGGGCTCCTGTTTCCCCACCACAGTCAGGATCTCTAGCAGCTCGCTCTCCACCAGCTTCTTGGCCAGCTCTGCATCAGCCGCCAGCAGGTTGTAGGCGATGACCAGGCCCCGGTGTTGGACAGACAGCCGGTCATGCAGGCAAAGCCGCTGTAGGATCTCCAACCACTGCGATGTCTGCAGAGGGGGAAATGTATAAGGCGGACTTAGAAGAATAGTGGAGAGACACAGAGAATGGAGATGTGGGGACAAGATAATTAGAAATCATCAGCCAGGCCCATAGCTAAGTAACTTAGGAATGGCCGCACATCTGGAAATAGCAGAATTATTTATTTGTTATTCAAGCAGCTTGAGAAGCTAAGGGACAGGCCCACTGCAGGCCTGAGAAGAATGGGAATGCAGACTGTTCAGAGAGGAGGCATCTCAGGGCCGGCACTGTGGTATAGTGGGTTAAGCCACTGCCTGCAAGGCTGGCATCCCACGTGAGCACCAGTTTGAGACCTGTCTGCTCCACTTCCAATCCAGCTCCCTGCTATTGCTCCTAGGAAATCAACGGGAGATGACTCAAGTGTTTGGGACCCTGCACCCATGTGGGATACCTGGAAGAAGCACTGAACTCCTGGCTTTGGCCTAGTATAGCCCTGGCCATTGCAGCCATTTGGGGAGTGAAACAATGGGTGGAACCTCCCTCTCTCTGTGTCTGTCTGTCTCTCTCTCCCTCTATCTCTATGACTCTGACTTTCATATAAATAAAAAAAAAATCTTTTTCTTAAAAAGAGGCACCTCACCCTAGGGACCTGGGCAACACCTGTCTCTGCCAACCCAGATGCCCTTGAGACAAGAGCTCAGGCGAGCTTTCTGCTGACCCTCTCTCTAACTGGAATCAACACAGGAGTTCAGGGTGGTCCTGTCCTCCACTCTTCCCAGCTGGGAGGCTGCCCAATTTTGTGCATGGGAAGGCAGGGCTATAGGCTACTCTCCTGGGAGACAGAGAGGAAGCTAAGAATAGCACCAGGAGGACACCTGTTTCATTCAACAGACACACAGAGGGCGGCAGAGAGCAAGAGCCATCAGCATGGGCTCTGGATTCAGAGACCTGGGTTCAGACGCAGCTCAGCCACCTACTAACTGATGACTTAGCTAAGCTGTTCACAGATTTTCTTCTATTTAGGTGGTAGGACAGATTCTCACTATGGGTGTGGGCTCCCTAGACTCCACCCAGCCCCTTCCGGTCCCAGGGCCCGCTCTCACCACTTGGGTCATCTTGAGGCACAGCTTCTTATGCGCTGCCGTCAGCATGGCCAGGGCCCCTGCTGCTGCGTTCTGCACCTTGTCATCATCCTCCCCACAGAGCAGCACCACCAGCTTCAGCCGGTCATTCCCATCTGCCAGGAACCTCTCTTGAACCTGTAGGAAGCGGTACACCTTCTCGGAGAAAAAAGCCCCCCACCTGCCCAGCTGGAAGAAGGAAAGATGCAAATGAAGTTCTTGGACCAGGATTCCTCGGAGTTTTCCTTTGAGCAGCTCATTCATGCCACCAGGTGGAGCTTTGGGCATCAGAGGGGAGAGCAGGGCAGAGGTGTGGTCAGCACGGTGCAGGTGCACCAGCCACAGCTGTGACTGCGAAGCAGCCGCCTCACCACAAACTACTTCCTCCACCTGGGTTCCTGGTTCTCACTGACTGAACATGAGCGGAGGTGATCTGTGCCATGACAGCTGCCTCTCTCGCGATCTTACTTCCCATTCGCCGTTGGGATGCAGACCGCTCCCAAGGTGGCAGAGGGCAAGACCATCCTTGCTGGTCAAAGAAGCCTGGATCCCCAGTCTCTGCTTGGAAGCGAGCCACCTGATCCAAACGGGATTATGGTGGGCGAGGAGGGGACGCCTATCCTGCTGCGGCCACTGTACAGTCGATGTTGGCTGCTACAGCAGCTGGTGCTCCCATGGGGAGGTGGCGCCTCCCTTTTCCCTCATCTCTCTCCACGCAGCCATCTGTTTCCCCATACCCATCCCACCCCACCTCCTCAGACACACTCCCCAGGCTGGCCTTGGTCCAGCTGACTAGTGGACCTGGAAGCTTATCTCCCGTGACTTTCCCATGACTTGGCCCAGTCTTCCTCCTAAGACAGTGAGCAGACCCAGGGTTTCAGCACTGAGGGGAACAGACTGTGTCTCACACCAGCCCCTACCTGAGGACCAGGGGAGCCTCTGGCCTGGCTCTCGGCCCACGAAGGGCCTCAGACTGAGACCTGGTGTGAGCTCTGATGAGTCCCAGTCACCCATGAGGGAGACCTTGGTTGAGTTTCCAGCTCCTGGCTGTGGCCTGGCCCAGTCTTAGCTATTGGGGGATTTGGGTAGAGTAGGCCAGCAGATAGGAGTGCCTCTTCCTCTCTCTGTCTGCATTTGTCTGCGTGTGTGTGTGTGTATATCTCTCTCAAATAAACAATTTTAAAACAAAATACTACCTTAATACCATGGGAACAGCTCCAGTGTCCCCCAGGACTTTCTTCTGGCCTGTCCCCCATGTCCTGGAATCCCCCCACACCCCAAGCCCCCGCCTCACCTCCTTGTTGACCACCATGTTGCACATGCACTCGGTGGCCGCCTGCCGCAGCTGGTCATGATTCTCAAACATGTAGTTCTCGATGTCTGGCAAGGCCCTCTCCTGAAAGATCTTCTGCCTGGGGTGGGAGGGTGGAGAAAGACAGGGCCTTGAGTCCTGTGTGGCGAGCACTGGTGTCTGGAGCCATCCAGGGGCCATTCCTCCATCCTCCATCAGCACTGAGCCTGCCCCAGCCCCAGGAGGGTCACGGGAGGCACTGCACAGTGGCCTGGACACCGTGCCGGGTCCTGGGATGAACGTCACCCAGTTGGACCGTCTTTGGTGTTATTGTTGGGGAAGAGGAGTTCTCCCTCTCTCTTTCCTGCTGGACATGAAGCTGAGAAGATGTGACGTCTGGGGCCACGCTTATGACCTCGAGAGGAAACAAAAGCTTCTCTGAGAATGAGGGCAATACAAACATGAGATGAGAGACGGAGAGAACCAGGAGCCAAGATGGACAGCTGTGTAACCCCTGCCTCAAACTTCATAATTTACATACATCAGTATGCTTAAGACTCCTTGGGCTGACTTGTCTGCTACTTGCAACCAAAATAATGCCAGTCCAGTACAATTCCACAAGGAAGAACGCCATTTATCCCCACTTAGCCCCGGGACACCTTTAGAAGGAAGTGTGTTTGGCTTTGGACATTCCCAACATGGCCTTTGGGATGGGGTAACCATATCCCTCCCACCCACCCCCCACTCTTCCACCACTGCCTTTGGTGCTGTCCTCCAGGAGAGCTGCTTCAACACACCAAATGCATGGAATTTCACCCACACACTCCGTGGGACGCCTCTCCACGGCGGCTCCCCTACCCTGGCCCACTCACCGCAGCTTGTCGCTCCGCCCAGACAGGTTGGTAAGGCCCAGGAGAGCCTCGTAGTTCTGCAGCCCATCCCTCTGCGTGTCCAGGAGGCTCACGAGCGGCCGCACCACCTCATATACCTGGCAAGGGGTAGGGGCCAGGACTGGTCAGGTAGGGTCATATTGCCCCACTCCCTCACATTTAAAGATGCTCTGTGGGCCGGCGCTGTGGTGCAGTAGGTTAAAGCCCTGGCCTGAAGCACTGGCATCCCATATGGGCGCCGGTTCTAGTCCCAGCTGCTCCTCTTCTGATCCAGCTCTCTGTTATGGCCTGGGAAAGCAGCAGAAGATGGCCCAGGTCCTTGGGCCCCTGCACCCACATGGGAGACCCGGAGGAAGCTCTTGGCTCCTGACTTCGGATTGGTGCAGCTCCAGCCGTTGCGGTCATCTGGGGAGTGGACCAGCAGATAGAAGACCTCTCTCTGTCTCTACCTCTCTCTGTAACTCTGTCTTTCAAATAAATAAAATAAATCAAAAAAAATGCTCTTATTTTTGTTTTTCTACTTTTTTAAAAATTTGAAACAGAGAAAGAGAGGGCAAGAGAGCTTCCATCCATTAGTTCTCTGCCCAAATGCCTGCAACAGCCAGGGCTGGGTCAGCCAGAATCCAGGAGGCAGAAATTCCATGTGGGTCTCCCATGTGGGTGGCAGGGGCCCAAGCACTGAGCCATCCTCTGCTGCCTCCCAGACTGCATCAGAAGGAAGCTGGCTCAGAAGTGGAGTCACAGGGGCACAAACCAGGCACCCCAATGGGGAATGAGGGCATCCCAAGAGATGACTTAACTGATGCACCAAACACCTGTCCCAAAGGTGCATCATTTTGAAATTCTCAAAGCACTCTCCCATACGCTATCTGATTTGGTCTTCCCGATGGTCCTAAGAGGCAGGATTGTTTCCTTCACCTGTAGACAACAGGATGGAGTTTCTGGAAGGAGGGTCCTGTTTGTCACAGGCAGAACCAGAGCCTGGAATGCAGGTGCCTCAGATTCATTGCCCTCCTTGTGAACACCCTATTCCCCTCTCCTGGGCTAGGTGATGAGGGAAAAGACCCCTAGGAGCAGAAGAGACTCCTCCCACTGCCCCATCCCACTCACCCCCATACTCACCCGCTCCCCAGGGAAGGCAATATCCGGGTTGGAGACGGCGGCGATCTTTGCCAGGGCGTGGGCTGCCTTCACCTTGCCCACGTCTGTGCCTTCCAAAGCCAGGGGGATCAGGGCCTACAAGAAAGAGCACAGTCACCACTCAGCCCTCTGTGCACACTCCTGCTGCTGCTGCTGTCAGCTGTCCATCTGTCTGTCCCCTCAGAAGTCCAGGAGGACTCTGTGGTTCCGTCAGCCCTTGATCTCACAGAGAACAATCACACAGTGATCACAGACTCAGGCCCCTGGTTTCCAGGACCACAGAGGTCTTTCCCACTACAGCCTCCCCCGTCCACATGGTCCTTCAGCCTTTGGAAAGAGAAATAATCAGTACCTGACCTTCCACCTTCTGCCCAGGCCAAAACTAATCATGACAGCAGACGTATATTGAGCACCTACTGTGAGTGTAGGGGGTGACACTGTGGTGTAGCAAGAGAAGCTACGGCTTGGGACTTCCACATGCCATATTAAAGTTCTGGTTCAAGTCCTGGCTACTTCACTTCCCATCCAGCTCCCTGCCACTGCATCTGGGAGGCAGCAGGTGATGGCTCAAGTACATAGATACCTGCCACCCACATGGGAGCCCCATATGGAGTTCCTAGTACCTGACTTTAGCCTGGCCCGGCCCTGGCTATTGTAGGTACTGGGGGAGTGAACCAGCAGATGAAATATCTCTGTCTTTCTCTGTCTCTCTCTTTCAAGTAGATAAAAATAAACATTTTTATAATTTTTTTCAGTGTATTTTCTTTAATGCTTGGGAGATTCTGCAGAGTGAGTGTGTGATTTCTCCATCCTTGATTTGTAGATGAGGAAATTGTCACTCAGGGAGATTAAGTAATTTTCCCAATTTTATGCAGCTAAAAGAAGGAAGAGCAAACTCAATCAAGTCTTCTGTGCAGAAAGGCCATAAACCTCTATATTTGCATCAGACTTCTTTTCAGTAGCAAGGAGGATCAGCAAGATTTAAAGGAAATCCCACAGAACACCCTAAAAATCAAGGAGAAATTGACCTGGGGTCATGGGTATAGTTAGCATGGACAAATGAGACGTATCCCAGGGGATTGGGATGGGTGGGCGCCAGGCAAGGAGGATACAGGTACATACACTGAAACACACAACACACACACAACATACATGCACACGCACACACACAGTGTGTTCCTCCAACAGCACAGCCCCTTCCAGAATGGCAAGAATGTTATCCTGCCTTCTTACCTTGCCACCACCTTGAGCCACGATAGTCCCTCGGTCCTTCGGGTTGTCACACAGTGCTAAGAATACCCTACAAGGGCCAGGAGAAAGGGGAACACGGACTGCACCAGCACTCCTCCCAGGCATCAGTGGGCCAGAGGGTCGGAGCCAGGGCAACCCTCCCATGCACACCCATGCCCCAGAATGAGCCATCTGGAAATGACACGGCCATGACGTAAATGGCTGGGAGAAAGCAAAACCAAGCCAGCTGCAGAGCCACCCTCCCACCCTGTTCAGAGACAACGGGCGGTTCCTGGCTGCCACCAGCCAGGACAAACCCTTCACCTCTGTGCTCTGGCCCTGGCCTCCTCTCTGGATTCCTCCATGCACTTCACCCTCCAGACATGCTGCGGGAGAGCCCGGGTCTCTCATGTCCCCTCCATGCCGCCTATCTTCCCATATGCTACCCCCTGCCTGGAACCCCCCCTTCCTCTGCATCGTGTGGCCCCTTTTCCTTCTTGAGGGCTCTGTGGAAGTGCCACCTCCTCCGGGTCCTCCAGTCCAGCAGGCTGGATGCCACCACCTGTGCTCCAGCCAACGCTCTGTGCTTCCCCCATTGTGACAGCCTTCGTCACATGTGACAGTGACTTTGTCCGCCTCTCCCACCAGGCACACAGGCTGGGCCTTTAATCTCTGGGAATAATAGTCAGGATGAGACGGTCTCTTTCCTGCTGATGTAAACTGCCACCTGCAATGATCTGCCGCACCAACTCACTTCCCAGTGTTGGTCACCTTCAGTCACTTCTCCAGGCCCCCAGTGGCTCATCCCCACAGCAGTCCCCCGCCACTGCAACCTCCCTGCCCAGCCTCGTTCCCTCTCCGCCCCCAGCCCCAGGCCTGCACCTGGCCAGCAGCTCCTTGGTCTGGTCGGTGAGGATGGCGCTGTCAGCTTTCACCATGCAGGCCAGCGCGGAGATGACGCCCGCCTTCAGAAGCCGCTTCACCCGCATGTCTATGAAGTCCTTCTTGTCCTGGGGAGACAAAGAGGTGGCAGTGGGGGAGGGGCTAGGGCACCGGGCCAATCTGTACAGGAACTAAAGATGGCACAAGTCTGTAGGTTGACTGACGGCCCCTGAGGACGCCCCTGGCCTAATGCCTGGAGCCTGAGAATGTGAGACTTGACACGGCAAAAGGGACTTCACAGAAGAGGAGGGATTCAAGGAGTGAGAGACAAGGACAGAATCCTTATCTGGGGGCCCGGGAGAATCACAAGGGTCTTTCTAAGAGGAAAGGCATGGGGTTGGCACCGTGGCACAGTAGCTCAACTGCCACCTGCAACACCAGCAGCCCATTCGAGCGTCTGCTGCAGTCCTGGCTGCTCTGCTCCCGACCCAGCTCTCTGCTAGTGCACCTGGGAAAGCAGCAGATGGCCCAAGTGCTTGGGCCCTGCACCCACATGAGAGACCTGGATGAAGTTCCAGGCTTCTGGCTTCAGCCTGGCCCAGCCAAGGCCACTGTGGCCATTTGGGGTATGAACCAGCAGAGGGAAGATCCTGCTCTCTCACCCTTTCTGTCACTCTGCCTTTCCAATAAATCTTCAAAAACAAACAAACAAAGAGGGACACAGGAAGACCAGTGTTAGTCCTAGGAGATGAGACAATGTAAGAGGTTGGAGGGATCCCAGGTCATGAGCTGGGAGTGGAGGTGCCCTCTAAAAGCTGAAAACAGCAGACGGATTCTCCCTAGAGCCCAGAAGGAGCCAGGACTGCTGACGACCCTGACTCCAGCCCAGTGACGCTGCCTGGGGGATGGCTGCCCTCCAGGACCAGGAGGGAGAGCACCTATGCTGCTTTAGGTCACCCGCTGCGACAAGGTGCGGCAGCAAAAACTGGACACTCATGCACCTAAATGTCCAGACGGCTGCCTGGGAGGGGCGTGGCACTTCCTGCCTGCCGCTGAAGTCTTCTCTGCCTTGCCCCGCCCCCAACTCCCAGTACACAGGAAAATCAAATCCCGAAGACTCATTCATAGAGCAGTGAAATAAAGAAAGCTCATCCAGGGTGGGCGTTGGGGCACAAGGAGTTAGGCTGCTATCTGGGACACCCGCATCCCATGTCAGAGTGCCTGGTTGGAGTCCTGGCTTCTCCATGTCAGTCCAGCTTCTAATGTTCCTGGGAAGCAGTAGATGATGGCTCAAGTACTTGAGTCCCTGCCACCTGTATAGGAGACGTGGATGGAGTTCCTGGCTCCCAGATTCAGCCTGGCCCAGCCCCAGCTGTTGCGAGGACTTGGGGTATGAAGCAGCATATAGACCCTCCCTTCTCTCTCTCTCTCTTTCTCTCTCTCTCTCACTGTTCCTTTCAAATAAACAAAACAAACAAACAAACAAAAAAAAGGTCATCCCAAGCACCAAATGACCTGCATAGTGTTTTTCCTGTAGAATGCTGCCTTTCCATTAGTGTGGGAGTGATGGCTGGGGACACAGGCAGGGGAGGCAGGAAGCAGACAGAGCTGACTTAACAACGGATGGGGTTTGGCCAGGGGTTTAAAGCCAATCCCGGGACTGCAAGGTCACTACCAACAATCTGCCCTCACAGCGGGAGCTCGGAAGAGGCTGGCCTTCGGGTAACTTCAGAGCCACACTGGAACCTCAAGGCAGCCAGTGAACACGCAGTACCCCCCTGCCTGGGTGAAACACCATGCAACTTTTCAACATCACTCAGAGAACGAGACGACAAATGTAGAGAACGAGATGACAAATGTAGAGAACACACAGAGCATTTTTCTGAAAGCAGGCGCAAAATGACAGTTACACTCTGACTGTGACTACGAAAACAACACCCGGGGAAATGAAGCCTCTGGCAGGTGGCCCAGCACATGAAAATGCCCACAGTGGTCACCTCCGTTTCCATTGTCCACCTTCTCATCTGTATTGCGATACAGTTTGGTTACTTTGATCTAAATAATTTTACAGGCTGGGGAGATTCTGCATAAATTCATATGTAAATCACATACAAATCATATCCCTATATGTAGGGAATCTGTCAGGAGGGCTCCAAGGGGACATGTGTCACTGGGGCTGATACTGACTCCTATCCTTCCTCCTCTCATTACTCCTACCTAGCACCCATACCCCAAATCCAGATACCCCAGGAAATCAAACGTGTATGCAAAGTAAATGTGAAATTAGACTGTCTTATACCCCTGAAACCAGCAACACACTCTGCAAAAGGTTCATCCTGGCTCCATTTGTTTTCTCAGTCTACAAAACTGTTGGTCTCTGGGGCCCACCTGGGGCGAGATACAAAATTAAAACAAAGGAAATACACGAGCACCCCCTGGTGGGGAAATTGGCCATGATCCTCTTCAACTGATCAGTAGCCTCCTCTAAATAATCCCAAATGCACCCCATGCGGAAACCAGCGTCACTATTTTCTCCATCCCATCTGTCCTGCAGGTGGCAGACACCTTCTGTCACCAGATAGACCCCGTCCCCACCTTGGGGTGCTCCTCGGGCACGTGCTGCTTGGAGAACTTGGCGAGCTGCACGAGCTCCGGGATGACCTCCTTGACGTCGTAGCTGTTGGTGCAGTTCACCAGCGTGGTGGCCACCGAGTACAGGATGGTCTTGTCACTGGTCTGGGGGCACGGGGTGGGGAGAAGGCAACTTGAGAACAAACCTCATGGTGTGGGAGGAGAGAAGCCGGCAGGGCTCAAATGCAAACAGCCCAGAAGGAGGGGACCCAGCTCTGCTCAGGAAGCTCGGGGCAGAAATGGCTCCCACAGCCCCAGCAGCACCCCAGGCGGGATAGGGGTCCTCCCACAGAGCTCCTTGCTTGTGCCTCTTTCAAAAGCCCACTCCCAACTGGAGTGGGACCTGGACAACATCCCATCTGGCCTGGTGGAGACCTTTCCCCATCCCCCCTCCTCCCCATGTCCTCCCTTTACTGTACAAAAAGCTCGGGAGGGCCGGGTGTCTGGTGCTGCCATTTGAGACGCTGCCTGGGGGGTTCGAGTCCAGCGTCCTGCTAATGCGCCCCCTGGGAGCAGCAGGGGATGGCTCCCATACTTGGGTCCCTGCTGCCCATAGATGAGACCTGGATCGAATGTCCAGCTTTATCCCAGCCACAGACATTTCATGCACTTGGGGAGTGCAGCAGTGGGTGGGAGCTCGCTCTCTTTCCTTCTGTACAACTGCCCTCCTCCACCTCTCTTAAATAAAAATGTTCAGAAAGAACCATGCAGTGGGCCTGGCAGCAGCAGAAAGGCATCTAGGAGGGAGCAGGGAACAGGGCAGGGGCCCAGAAGAGGGGACTCACTGCCTTGGGACCCCCCAGGCCCCAGCAAGATACAGCATCAGCATGCCACAGCATCACACAGGAATTAGATCCCAATCTGCTGGTGGCCAAGTCCCCTATCTACAATGGCGTAGTATTTGCCTATAGCCTGTGCATATCTTCATGCATCTCTCCCGGTCACCCACAACACCTCACACAATATAAATGCACATAAAGCAAAACCAAGTCTGTCCTCGGGCTGCACAGATGCCATTTAAATAGAACTATTCTCTGTCTGTGGTTCGTTGGTCCTGCCGATGACAGCTGACCGCGCCAGCCTCCGGTTCATCGTCCCACAACCTGCGAGGCATGAAGCATCCTCTGTGCATTTTACTGGCAAGGTAAAATGAGGACCTCAAAGAGGGGAACCACCAATGCAGGTCCGCCTGAGGGGCAGGGGTGGGGGCAGAGCCAGGGCTCCAGTTCCTGCGGGCCCGGCTCCTCCTGAGGTTGGAGGTCAGGGCCACACTCGCCTTGGCCAGCTCAAACATGGCCTGCAGGGCAGGGATGTCCTGCACGAAGTCGTCCTTCACATCGGCGTCCAGGGTGAGGTAGGCCAGGCCCTCCACGGCCCAGCGCCGGGTGCGCGTGTCTATGGAGGCGTTGCATAGCCACCTGGAAGCAGGGAGGAGCGGTGCTGCGGACGGCGCACGGGCCCAGGCTACAAAGCCACGTGGTTTCAGGGTAATGGCTGGCAGCCGAGAGGGCGCCCCAGGGACCACCACGCGGAAGCCCACGAGGAGGCGGGGCGCTGGGAAATGAGCCCCTTACTTGCGACACTGCTTAGCCAGCTTCTCTGTAGAGCCTTCAGCAAACTGCCTGAGGCCGTAGTCTGTGCCGCCTGCAGAGCCAAGCTTACAGAGTCCCTGTGGAGGAGGGAGACACGAGCAGGATCAGAGACCCCAGGTTGGGGGACACAGCCCCCCCCCCCCGACAGTTCCCTGCAGCAGGAATATGTCAACCCTTTTCCTCTGCCTGGACATACTTCTATGTGTACTACAAAGTCCAGCTGGCGTGGCCTCTTCCAGGAAGCCTTCCCTGATGTCTCCAGGCTCTGGGTAGAAGCCCACAAAGCTGCAGGTTTTCCCCTGCCCTCTTTTCCTCACCATTTTTGACCTCACAGATGTTTCGCAGTTGGTTCATTGAGAGATCGGTGCAAGAGATTGCTAACAACGTCTGAAGCTGCAGTGGCGACCCTTGCCACGGCACAAAAATTGGCAGAGAAGACAGATCATGGGGAGTACACATCCAGATGTGTAAAACTGGAAAAACTGGGCTCCAGGGAGGAAAAATAAATGTCTTGCATAAGAGAAAAATGTATCATGGCAGAAGATAAAATTACTTTTTAAAAAGATGGATGTGAACATAAAATGAGACCAATGGCTCAAATCTTTGCTATAACTGTTTACAAGAAAAAGAAGACATCAGCGAAAACAACTTCAGTAGAATGGAAATGGAAAAAGTGAAACAGGTTTGACTGTGCCATAGAGAAATGGATTAAGAAAACAAGCTGGGGCCAACCTCATGGTGCTACGGGCTAAGCCGCCACCTGCAACACTGGCATCCCAAATCAGAGCGCCGCTTCGAGTTCCGGCTACTCCACTTCCAATCCAGCTTCCTGCTAATGCGCCTGGGAAGGCAGCACCTGCTGCCACCCACATGGGAAACAGATGGAGCTCCTGGCTCCTGGCTTTGGCCTGGGCCCCCCAGCCATGGCCACTATGGCCATCTGAGGAGTGAACCAGTGGAATGAAGGTTTCCTTCTCTCTCTCTCTCTCTCTCTCTCTCTCTGCATTTCAGATAAACAAACCCTTTAAGAAACAGAATTTTGGGTGTTCTCTCTGAAACTCCTTTCTGTACAACAGATCACAGCATTTGCGTCACTCAGGAGCACAGAGCTCAACTCCCCAGAGCACAGCCGCGGGCTGTGAAGCTACAACGGTGCTCCGAACAGTTCATGGAAAGGGGAATTAAAAGGGTTTGTTTTGGCCGGCGCCGCGGCTCACTAGGCTAATCCTCCGCCTTGCGGCGCCGGCACACCGGGTTCTAGTCCCGGTCGGGGCGCCGGATTCTGTCCCGGTTGCCCCTCTTCCAGGCCAGCTCTCTGCTGTGGCCAGGGAGTGCAGTGGAGGATGGCCCAAGTGCTTGGGCCCTGCACCCCATGGGAGACCAGGATAAGCACCTGGCTCCTGGCTCCTGCCATCGGATCAGCGCGGTGCGCCAGCTGCAGCACGCCGGCCACGGCGGCCATTGGAGGGTGAACCAACGGCCAAAAGGAAGACCTTTCTCTCTGTCTCTCTCTCTCTCACTGTCCACTCTGTCAAAAAAATAAAAAAAAAAAAAAAGGGTTTGTTTTAAACCCTTGCAAAACAAACAAACAAACAAAAAAAAAACAAACTCATTGCAACTGAGGTAAAAAGAAAGAAAGAACTCTTGCAAGTAAATGGGAAGTCCATGCAGAGTTCCTGCACAGCACTCATTTTCCATGAACTCTTGGCTGTGCCCCCATACGGGGTGTGCCCGGGAGCCCCGTGCAGCATGCTCCCCTCCAGGGCAGGCCCTGGGGGTTGGGGTAGCGGCCCCCTCACCACCAGCGTGCGGATCTTGATCTTCTCGTTTTTGGTGGTCTTGTAGATCTCCTTGAGCAGCGTCACCCCGTTGGTGATGATGAAGGTGGCGCGGCTGAGCTTGGTGGAGGCGTGGATGAGGGCCTCCACGGCCACCAGCTGGTCTGCCTCGCGCTCCGAGCCGCAGAGCGCCACCATCATCTCCATCACACCTTTCAGTCCCAGGAGCTGGTTGCCCAGGTCGAAGGGGCCCTGCAGGATCCCAGACACCGTCTGAATGGCATTCACATTCTTGTCCATGTCCTGGGGATCAAACTTGCCCCTGAAACAGAGAGCAAGGGTCGTCAGGAGGGGTGGCCCAAGGGAGCAGCACAAGATTTGGAGGTAGATGGCGAGGGATTTGCATGTCGCTCTGCCACTCACGGGCTGTGCGGCATTGGACAAGTCACGGAGCCTCTCTGAGCCTCGCTTCCTGATCTGTAAAGTGAGGACAGCACTGGTGCTTCTCAGAGTTGAGGTGAGGATGGAGGGCAAAGCAGGTGTGTCACAGGCTGTGTGCCTGCAGTGCACACTCTGACTCCCAGAGCGAGCTCTAGGGAGGGAAGGAAGCGGGGCGGACAGAGGGAGGCTCTGGGCTGCAAGGCAGTCACACAAGGCCCCAGTCCGCAGAGGTCTGCAGCCAGGACATCCCCTTAACGGCGTCCCAGGTAGGGGTGAGGGATGAGCCGAGGACCCAGCTGCCCTGGGTGTGGGGGGGAGGCAGCTGTCGTCAGCTTAGCCAAGCCCCAAAGAGAAGGGCCGCTGAGATGTGTCAGCCACACAGTCTTTCCACCAGGTCTCTGGGGTGTGGCCCACTCCGTCACCTGCATCCAAGGCTCTGTCATGGTCTCTTCCCCTGTGCAGGGAGTGTATGAGCAAGATGGGTGGGTGGAGCCTGCCTTGTTTTCAGACCCCATGGTCATCTACTCCAAGGAGATTATCTGTTGGGGGACGGCGCTGCGGCATAGCGGGTAAAGCCACCACCTGCAGTGCCAGCATCCTATATGGGCACCGGTTCAAGTCCTGGCTGTTCCACTTCCAATCCAGCTCTCTGCTGTGGCCTGGGAAAGCAGTAGAAGATGGTCCAAGTCCTTGGGCCCCTGCATCTGCATGGGAGACCCGGAGGAAACTCCTGGCTCCTGGCTTCAGATTGGTGCAGCTCCAGCTGCTGCGGCCAATTGGGGAGTGAACCAGTGGATGGAAGACCTCTCTCTGTTTCTCTCTGCTTCTCCTCTCTCTGTGTAACTCTGACTTTCAAATAAATAAATCCTTTTTAAAAAATAAAGATTCTCTGTGTGGCGATTGGTAGGGGGACGCGCCTCCCAAGCCTTCTGGGAGCCGCCCAGTTGGGTTCAGTGTGGAGTCAGGGCAGACGTGGGAGTGCTTCCAAATACGAAGGCAGTACGGTGCAGTCGGAGCAACTCTACACCAAGAGCCTGAGGCTTATGCTCTGGTCTCTACCTGCCTCCAACTCTCAGGTGGCCAAGGGCAAGACCCTTGGGAGAAGATCTGAGAACCCCTCCCATTTGGACATCATGCCTGAGCCTCAGCTCTGCTCCACTCAGTGTCCAGAGAACCCAGAACCTTTCAGCTGGAATGGGAGCTCTGCCCTGTTAGCTGCTTCCTGGCCCCCACTGGTGCCTGAAGTCCCACACAGACCCTGGTCCCTGATGAAGAAGGACACAGGACACCCACATCAGGGGCAGCCCGAGCTGCCAGCTGCGAGGCGGTAACTCCTCCTGTTCACCATTCCATCGACCGACAAGGGGGGAGCCTTGATCAGAAAGCTCTGCCCAGACCAGGACCAGCTGGGCCCCCGTTATCGGAACTCAACTGAGGACCTCAAGAAAGACTCAAGAAGTTAGCAGGAGAAGCTGGAGCTGTGATACGCAAAGAGAGAGCACCCATGAGCAGCCGTAAATGGCCCCAAGTCAGAGGCCAGCAGTGGCAATGGGACAGAGCAGGAGGCAGCAGATCTGGGGAACTGAGAATGGGTTTTACGTTAAATAGGTAAAAATAAGATAAGCTGGGGCCTGTGTTGTGGTTGTGGCATAGTGGGTTAGCTGCCATGGGACCTGCATTCTATATGGGCACCGAGGTTTCAAGTCCCGGCTGCTCCACTTGCAATCCAGCTCTCTGCTATGGCCTGGGAAAGCAGTAGAAGATGGCCCAAGTGCTTGGGCCTCTGCTACCCACATGGGAGACCTGGAAAAAGTTCCTGGATTCCGGCTTCAGCCCAGCGCCACGCAGGGAGAACATTCAGCGGCGTTGGAACCGAGGCACCACCGCCAAGCGGCACCAGCGTGCCAGCCATGGGAGGCCACCATCTTGGAGGCCTCTTCCGGCCCCAGCGAAGCCTGCACTTGGCGGCCTCCCTCGTCCTAACCCAACGCTATATGACCGTAACTTCACGCGAAATCCTGAGCCGGGAACCCCCAGCGCAGCCACACCCCCGTTCCTCTTCGCTGGGGATGATAAATAACAGCGGCCTCAAGGCCCAGCGCCTGAGGACACTCACGTGATGTACTCTTCGCAGATCTTGCGGAAGTGCTCCCGCTCTGGGTCGCAGCGCAGGTCATCGTAGAGCTTGTTGATGAGGATGGAGGCCAGCATGCGGGTGTTTTCCGTCAGGGGCAGGCAGGACGGCAGGTCGGGAACCTGCCCCACGACCTTCAGGATCTTCCTGAGGCCTGCAGCGGGGACAGCAGCGAAGGGGCGAGTCCCGCGGGCCCCTCATCGCTAAGGTCGCCCTGGGTTTATCCAGAGGGCAGGGAATGACCCGGGAATGGGGTCAAGTGACCCAGGTCCGCACCTGAGTCTGCCCCTCCCTTGAGCGATCCACCTCCCCCGTGCGCCTCCCGTTTCACATTCGCAAAATCGACAGGTGCTGATCTGAGAGCCCTCTGGCACTGCTGTCACAGGCCATCGAACACACTTCCTGCATCGCCTACCCGAAGCCTAAATGGGAAACGCTCCAACATCCCAAGCTTTGTGAGGGCTGACATGGTGCCACGAATGGAAAATTCGACACCATGTAACTTTCTCTCATGCCTTCGGTTAGTTAAAATACCATGTAAAATTCCATCCAGAAATGCTAAATGTTTGAGGAGGTGGATGTTTGCCCTGGCCGGACTTTACACAACACACACATGAATCAAAACATCATAAATATGGACAACTGTACATGCCACTGTAAAACTTTTAAAAATTATAAATAAGAAATAAAGCACTGTTTAACTACCTTCAGGCGGTGTGTGTAGGATGTATATCAGACGTAATGTAAATGAGCTTCACGTTTAGACCTTAGTCCCAGGCCTAAGACATTTCATTATGGACACACAAACATTCCGGAATCTGAAACCCTGCAGGTAAGGGGTGCTTGACTTGCATTCTTTCCTCCACGGGCTTAGTTTCTTTAGTTGTTAAATGGGAACCACAGAACCTGCCTTGTGGCCACTGTGGAAGTTGCTTATCAGCAACTCAGACCTAGCATTTAGCACTCACTATGTAGTGACTTGACTTAGTAAATACTATATCTACTACTTACTATTATTATCCCTCATATCTCTTCTGTTGAAGAATCTTCAGTGGCTTTGGCCATCCCAGTAATCCTTTTCTTTTTATTATTATTTTTTTTTTATTTTTGACAGGCATTTTTTTTTTAAGATTTATTTATTTATTTGAAAGGCGCAGCAACCAAGAGGGAGAAACAAAGAGATAGAGAAATCGTCCATCTGCTGATTCACTCTCCAAATGGCTGCAAAAGCCAGAGGGCCAGGCTGAAGCCAGAAGCCAAGAGTCAAGAATTCCACCTGGGTCTCCCAAATGGGTGGCAGGGGACCACAGACTTGAGCCATCTTCCATTGCTTTCTCAGGCACATTAGTAGGGAGCTGGATTGGAAATGGAGCAGCCAGGACTCAGACTAGTGCTCGGATATGGAATGCCATAGTCACAAACAGAGCTTTGCGCCATTGTGTTGAATACATTTTTCAGCCCTGAGCCTGCAATGTAATATGCAAAACAGACTTCAAATTACAGTAAGGTGTGATAAGTACAGAGCAGCCACATCGTGTATAAGGTGATTGTCTTCAATGAAATCTATTTTAAAGGGAACAGTGAGGGGCGAGAAACTCTGGTGTTTGGAGAAAATTAAAAATGGCTGACAACAGGGGCAGTCCGCCTAGTGGTTAAGCTATGTGTGTCCCACATCACAGTGCCTGGGCTTGATTCCCGGCTCCTAGTCCAGCTTCCTGTTAGTGCAGACCATGGGAGGCAGAAGTGATGGCTTACATGACCAGGTCCCTGCCTCCCACGTGGTCTTTTTGAGGGTGGCTCCATGGTGTGGACATTGTTGATCTGAAGTCAGAGGCGGGGTGGTGGGGTGGTGGTCTAATCACAGGGTTGGGCCCCTGGTCACCGGCTCCCAGCCTGGAGCTGTCAGAAGCCCTGAGCTCCCAGTCATCTCACTGGATACAAAAGGTACTTCAGTTTTGTTTTGTTAAAGATGGACTCTTGCAGTGAGTTCAGCTGCAGCCTGTGAGCTACTGGTTCAAGTTGTGCCTGGTTCATTTCTGATCCGGCTCCCTGCTAAGGCACCTGAGAAGGCAGCAGAAGATGGCCCAAGTGCTTGGGCCCCTGCACCCACATGAGAGACCTGGATGGAGTTCCTGGCTTCTGGCTTCAGCCTGGCCCAGTCCCAGCTGATGCAGCCATTTAGGGAGTGAACCAGTGGATGGAAGGTCTCTCTTTCTCTGTCTCTATCCCTGTCCTGTCACCCTGCCTTTCAAATAAATAAATAAATCTTTTTTTAAAAAAAAAAAAAAAGAAGATGGACATTTTGCCTTCTTTCCCATTTTATTTGAAAGGTAAATTTTTGAAGTATCCTTGCTATTAGACTGGTGTGAGAATTTACCTTAGCAGACTATACAGCTGCAGGTATGATCCCTGAAAAAGGAGCTGACTGTAGCAGAGTGCCCGGGTTTGCTTCCTAGCTCTAGCTCGTAACTCCAACCTCCTTCGATTGTGGACGCTGGGAGGCAGCAGGGGCAGCTCAGATGCCTGGGTTCCTGCCGCCCACATGGGAGACCCAGACGGAGCTCCCCGCTCCTGACTTCATCCTCTTGCAGTCCCAGCCATTTCGGGCATTTGGGAAGTGAAACGGGATGAGAGCTCACTTGCTCTCACACTCTCCTTCTGCCTCTCAAATAAAATTTTTTTTTTTTTTTTTTTTTTTTTTTTTTTTTTTTGTAATTTGAAAAAGACAGAAGCTGATTTAGATTACCTCCTGGAGGTGCCAAGTTTAGCGACTGCCCTCTAGAACATGTTAATTGGCACACTTGGTGCCATTTCTCCCTACTAGGAGACTTGCAAAGCATTTGGCAGCCATGTGGCTTCAGGAACATTGCTCCATGGGTGCTGGAGCCCTGTTTGGTTTTCGGCACTTGCTTCCTTTCCAAAACTCCACTGAGAAGTCTGGGGAGGTGGGGGGTGTCTGGGCAGTTTCTGGGTGTGTGTTCAGGCCCTGAATTCAGAGCACATCTTCATCAGTCCACGGACAGATACCAACCTCCTAACGCCTTTTCCTGCTTCGTCAGTTGGACCAACAGCTCACTGTAGACAAGAGCCTCACCCCTTCGGCTTTTGGCTCAGTGCCAGGGACCAAGTGCCCGCCTAAAAGTTTCCAACGAGCCCAAGCCCTCCCACCTCCTCACCGTTGTCCACCACGTAGATGGTGCGTGAGTTGTCGTGAATGGCCAGGTCCTTCCTGGGGACGTTCTTATTGAGCAGGTTCAGCGCCTGGTCCCTGCCCTGGCCAGACACCTTCTTATTGACCAGCATGTCCAGCAGGTGGCTGGTGATCTGCTTCAGGTCCTTCTTGGTGTCTGAGGAACAAGTGGACAGGGGTCAACAGAGAGGAGCAGGAAGCCTCAGATCTATCGGACCAGGAATGCAGAAACTTCTAGAAGAGCTCTGGGAATATTGACTCCAGCACTTTCCCGATATGTGAATTTGCCAGGGAAGTAGAGTGTTGCCCATCTCACCCCTAGAAAGGGAGAAGAATCCCTCAATGCCACCCCAAAGGCAGCTTGGGCCACCGTGGAAGTTGGACTCTGACAGCCTGCTCCAGGCTTGGACAGCTGGTTCCTAGAAAGCTCCTCACTCCCAGGCAGTGACTGGCAGAGATTCAGAAACGCTTTCTGCAGTTTTAATAAACTGTCCTAATCAAATGTTTTCTGGAAAGGAAATGCACAGTCCTTACAAGACATTTTACTCCCCACAGGCCAGGGCATGCTGGGAGGATGAATTCAAGTTGCCTTTGATGCCAGGACTTCCCCGACAGATCGTACAGAGCGATAAATGCTTCCTCCTGACTTTGCCCTGTCTGTTCTCCCAGAGACAAGGCTTTTGTTCTCATTCTTGGATGGAGCTCAAAGGCAGGCAGGCAGCAGGCAGGCAGAAAAGTAGAGACAATCAAACTGCATCAGATAAACAATGGATGAAAGAATGGGGCCATCTACCCTGGAGGAGGGAAGAGGAGGGCTTGTTTGCAGAGGAAGCTGTGTCATGAGGCTAGATACCAGTCTCAGCCTGTGAGGCTCTGGGGAAGAACTGGCACCAGAGGTGGGTGGAGCCAAAAGGAGATAGCTTTGAGATAAGGTATGAAAGAATTTTGTAGCACTTGCCACTTCCCAGGGAAGCCACAGGAGACTGCACCCTGTGGCCCCCAGTGAAGCACACCTTCAAGATGCACACTTCCCGTGGCCCCTCCCACACTGGGCGTGGGGGGTCATGTGACTTCCGGCAAAGTCTGAGTCTTGCAGAGCACTTGCCCATGGGCCTGTCCCTTTTGAGTGCAGTCACTCTGCTATGTAGAAATCCAAGCTGGTGCCAGAGAGGCCACAAGGGAAAAAAAAAAATCATGATTGTGTTAGGTAGGAAGTCAGATATGAGCTTATGTGTGTGTGACAAAGGCCTAAGGAGACATTTGGGTCCAGCATATGTACCTCAAAGTCATCCCGATAATAACAACGTTTCAGGGGCAGCCCAGTATTTGCATCCTGCCCTGCCCCAGTATTTGCATCCTGCCCTGCCCCATTCTACCTGATAACCTGCCAGGTGGGGGTCCCCACCCCTTCTGCCTGATAATCTTCCAGATGCAGCCCAGTATCTGCATTTCAAGTACCCTGCCAGGATCCCGATCCTCCAGGGGGTCTTGCTCACCCTTCCTCTAAACCCAGGGCTGCGGTGACAGCTAGGCTTCCTCCTGTCTGATAACTTCTGGGGGAAAACTCAGATAGGAGTTTCTAGTATTTACACCCATAAAGTCTTTTGTTTCAGGAGAAGATGTGAGACGACAAAGATCCATCTCCTTAACCCTCCCCCCACCCCCGCGCCTCAACCTGACAGCGCGCTCAGCCCTCTTCCTCTCTGCTGAGTCGCCTGCCTGCCTGCCTGCCTGCCCAGGTGTAATCTCTCCACTCAACCATGTAACATCACTCTTCCCTCCCAGACCGAGCAACTGGGCACTCTCTCTCAGGTTCTGTCCATACGTTCTTATGGATGTCCCTTCCCTAATAAACTTCGCTATTTTACTTTCCACCACTCTCTGTCTCATGCCTGAATTCTTTCTTGCACGAAGACAAGAACTCTGCCATTCACCGGTAACAGTTGACCTCAGCAATGAGCCACCAGCCACCCAAATGAGGCTGTCTTGCACCACCCAAGAATTCTAGCTTGGGAAGGGAAAGGGACTCACTGGCCACTACAACAGTAAAGGCAAAGCTACACCAAGAATCCAGGACTCCAAAAGGCTAGGCTTATTCAATGTATAAACAGCTCTTCTAAACAAACACGAAAAACTCTGATATCCCAGCAGAAAAAACAGCTATCAATATGAACAAGCCATTCGAAGACAAACTCAAATGGCTAGTATTCATCAAGATAAAGAAAATCGATCAACGTCATTAGTTATTTTTTAAATTCAAATGAGCTAATTTTCATCTACTGAATAGGAAAACATCTTTAAGAATGATAGTATTCGAATCTGCTGAGAACACAACGCAAAGAGAACTGTCGTCCCTTGGTGAGCCCACTCAGAAAGGAGCTGGACAGTGAGGGGGCAGAGGAACTTCAGTAATGTCCATGGCCTTGGACCATAGCCTTCTCCCAATTCTAGAATTTGCCCCAAGGACATAATTATAAATGTAAACATGAATTTATGTTAATGCCAGTTACTGAAACTTCTTTATAAACATGCCAGTTGGAACCCATCCAGATATCCAATAATACAGAGCTGATTCATGAATTATGAAAAATTCATACAAAGGAATATTATGGAATTATTTAAGATAAACTCTTCTGTGTGAACTTGGCCCCGTGAGCCTCCTGGCCAGGGCAGGAACCCCTAGGCTGAAGTGTAAGACTTGGGTGTTGTGGAGAAGCATGGGTCTGTATGTGTGTACACGTAGCAAACAAAAGTAAAGTCAATAATTATTGAAATCAAAGGAATCCCTTTAAAGATTATTAAGCTGCTATAATATAATGCTCAGTGGAGAAAAAGCATAAAACTATTCTTAGCAGAGTTCCAATTTTCCTCAATGGATATTTTTAGAGATGGAGACAAAAAGCACAAGAAGTCACCCACAATAGTGATAATAGTGTTTATCTTAATGGGCGACTACAGGTTTTGTTCCATCTTGAAATGTTTCTACACTTGTTCCACTTTCTCCAGGAAGCCTCTGTTACTGTTTCTAAGCTGTAGTAAAATATATGGAACATAAATTTTCCCATTGTAACCATTTTAAGTGACATGAAGTACATTGACATTGCTGCACAATGGTCACCACCATCCAACCACAGAGCTCCCAATAAACAGTGGGTGGGTCTCCATTCCCTCCCAGAGCTCAATTGCATCGGCCTCATTTTGCTTATCCAGGGCTGTGTGGGTGGACACTGAGTTGCTGCCACCTTTTGGCTATTGTGAGTCCTGCTGCCACATCTCTGTTACTTTTACAATCAAAAAATACAGACAAAAACAAACCCACACCACCTCCATGTACAGGGACTACACAGTCTGATGGCAGCAGGAGAGAAGGGGAGGCCGACTCCCCTCCCCCACCCACCCCCCACAACCCCTGGAGCCCAAACTGCAGGAGGTCTCCTACCTAGAACCAGGGCCTCCTCCTTCCCACGGTGCTCTCGCTTGTCCTCCCCAGAAAGGGAGTCGATGACAGCCTGCAGCAGGTTGCAGACGGCCAGGGACATCTCCTCGTTTTCCACAGACATGAGGCTACAGATGCGGTCTATGCGGACTGAGTGCAAAATCGCCGTGGCCTGGACAGCCGCAGAAGTCACCATCAGTGGCCCTGCCCCTCCCTGTCAGCTGCCATGCAGGTGAGGGGTGTGGGTATCACCTACTCCACCCCATGCAGGGGGGAAGCAAACCCAGGCAGCCAACAACCCAAGCCACATCCCTTTGCAGAGTGCAGAGCTAGGCCCAGCTGACACAGTAGACACTCCCCACCTAAATGCATCGAAATGTAAGACAGGTGAGCATTTTAAAAAGTTTGCAAAAATGGAATAACAAGATAAGTGCATTTTGGTGCAAAAAAATTTGAAATCTATGCATAATCTTTTCATAATACACATTTCTCAAGAAATTTTTGAAGATCCCTTGTATGCATGGAGTTTGAAACTTTTTTGCACTGAAATAGACTTATAATTCCACTTTCCAGGAATTTCTTGTTCCCTCATATGCACCTCACTTCAAAGACTTAGTATAAAGAGTTACATAATATCAAAGGTTTTGCATTCAGTTCTTCCCCCAAAACCACTTTCACTAAGCTTATCTTTGCGTAGTCACACCCATTTCCAGCTCAAAGGAAAAAGACTGGATTCTGCTGTACTCAGTTAGAGGCCAGACCACCACGATTGTGACTTTCTGTTGGGCGCTATCTATGCCAGCCACAGCTCTACCCACATACCACCCCCTGGACCCTGGCACCCCACAGCCAGGCTCTCACCCTGGCTCGGTGGCCACTGCACATGCCCGACAGGGTCCGCACTGCAGCCAGCACCAGCTCTGGTTTCTTAGTATCCAGGAGCTGCAGCAGCAGGGCCACTCCGTTGTTCTGGAAGATTCTTTCAGCTCCGGCTTCCTCACGGCCTAGGACAATGAGGTTGTTGGCGGCCTGAAAGAGGGAAGAGGCAGTGGGGTCACTGAGGAGGCGTCGCTGCCCAGGCCTTGACCATGGGTAAGTATCAGGGGCTGGTGCAAGGATGGATCTTCAGAATACCCTTAGACTGTCTTGCATTGTAATTCTACTCTTGGAAACACAGATAAAGGACATAATTCAAAAGAAGACAAAGTAACCTGCATAAAGATCAACTTGGTGAAATAGATTGCAGCCATTAAAGTCATAAATAAAAAGGCTGCACAGCCATTTGGAGAAAAGCCTCGGTAAGCAGAATCAGACTCCGACATTCACTCTGCCTGCATTAACTGTGTGTGTGCTTACGGAGACGGACTAGGGGAAAGGCTCAGAAGCAAAGGGCTTCTACTCGGAGGGCCATTTTCCTTGAATAGTTTCTCTTCTATCTGTTTTCAGTACTGTCAGTTTGCGTGTTTGCCTAGTCAGGGGACCCTGGAGCTGTAAAAGTTCTCAGGCAGGCAGAAGGTGGTAACCAGGAAGATTACACACACATGGGAGACCTGGATGGAGTTCTGGACTCCTGGCATTAGAATGGACCAGCCTGGGGGCCGGCGCCATGGCTCACTTGGTTAATCCTCTGCCTGCAGCGCCAGCATCCCATATGGGCGCCGGGTTCTAGTCCCAGTTGCTCCTCTTCCAGGCCAGCTCTCTGCTGTGGCCTGGGAGGGCAGTGGAGGATGGCTCAAGTGCTTGGGCCCTGCACCCGCAAGGGAGACCAGGAGGAGGCACCTGGCTCCTGGCTTCGGATCAGCATAACTCCAGCCGTGGTGGCCATTTAGGGGATGAACCAACGGAAGGAAGACCTTTCTCTCTCTCTCTCTCTCACTGTCTCTTTCTGTAAAAAAAAAAAAAAAAAAAGAATGGACCAGCCTGGGCTGTTGCAGGCATTTGGGGAGTGAAATAGTAGAGCAAGATCATCCTCTGTTTCTCTGCCTTTCAAATAAGATGAAAATAAGTAATTTTTAAAATATTTTAAAAGAACCATCTTTATCAGTGGAGAGCTTTGTATCTTCATTGATGACCACTCAGTATGTCTTCACAAGAGTTGTTATAGAAGATATTTGCATACTATGTGGATTTATTGACTGTCAAACTAGGAAACATTATTCAGGCATCCTCTGTTTAGTTCTTATAAATGGAAAACATGGTGTCAGCACTGTGGCGCAGTGGCGGCATCTCATATTGATACTAGTTCAAGTCCCAGCTGTTCCACTTCCAATCCAGCTCCCTGCTAATGCACCTGGAAAAGCGGCAAAGGATGGCTCAAGTCCTTGGTCCCCTGCACCCATGTGGGAGACCTGGCAGAAACTCCTGGCTCCTGGCTCTAGATTGGCTCAGCTCCAGCCGTTGAGGCCATCTGGGAAATGAACCAGGAGATGGAGGACCTCTCTTGCTCTGTCACTACCTCTCTCTGTAACTCTGTCTTTCAAATAAATAAAATAAACTTAAAAAAAAAAAAAAAAAAGGAAGACGGCCTGCATCGCGGCTCAGTAGGCTAATCCTCTGCCTGCAGCACAGGCACCCTGGGTTTTAGTCCCGGTCGGGGCGCCAGTTTCTGTCCCGGTTGCTCCTCTTCCTGTCCAGCTCTCTGCTATGGCCCCGGGAGTGCAGTGGAGGATGGCCCAGGTCCTTGGGCCCTGCACCTGCATGGGAGACCAGGAGAGGCACCTGGCTCCTGACTTCGGATCGGCGCAGTGTGCACAGCCGCAGCGGCCATTGGGGGGTGAACCAAAGGAAAGGGAAGACCTTTCTCTCTGTCTCTCTCTCTCACTGTCCACTCTGCCTGTCAAAAAAAAAAAAAAAAAAAGGAAGACACTCAAATGTCCAATTTGTTTCCACAGAAGAAGGACTAGAACATGAAAAAATGCAACAAATTTTGTGAAGAAGACTGCATCAGTGAGTATTTGAATGTTTCAGAATGACTTCTCTCCAACATTTTTAAATGAAGTAAAGCATTACTTAAATGTGTCACTGTTTTTCAGGACTGAAATCATGATGAGGCAAGTGAGGCACTCACCTTGGATGCAAAATGTAAGGAGGCGCCAAGAAACTCCATCATTGGGATAAATACTATTTAATGCAATTAAAAAAATAAGTCAACAGGCAACGCAGTGGCGCGGTAGGTTAATCCACTGCCTGCAGCACAGGCATTCCATGTGGGTGCCGGTTCTAGTCCTGGCTGCTCTATTTCCAATCCAGCTTTCTGCTATGGCCTAGGAAAGCGGTGGCAGATGGTCCAGGTGCTTGGGCTCCTGCGCCTGTATGGGAGTTGGGAGGAAGTGCCTGGCTCCTGGTTTCAGATTGGTGCGGCTCTGGCCATTGCGGCCGTTTGGGGAATGAACCAATGGAGGGAGGACCTTTCTGTCTCCCTCTCACTGTCTGTAACTCTACCTCTCAAATAAAGTAAAATCTTTTTAAAAAATTAAGTCAATTCAAAAAAATCCACGATGAACAAAATGTCAACATTTTTAATTAACAACAGGATCCTGTCCTGTGCACGAGTCTCCTCACTCTGTCTGGTCCCTAAAAGTTCAGGCTCTGTTTTCTATCGTGTTCTTCAAGGTCAGGGGAGTGCTGGCTGGATGTCATCTGATGGGTGCAGAGAGCGCCCTCTACTGACTGGCCCTGCACACTCACCTTTTCCCGCTTATCAGCCTCGCTGTTTTCGTCCAAGAGGATCTCAAACATGGTCTGTACCCTGGAGTCGGTGGAGAACTGCACGCGGAGCTGAGGAAGGAGGAGGGGGGAGGCAGGAATCAGGCGGCACCACTTAATCTCAGTCCGTTCCACAGCTAGCTCATCTCAGTAATATTGGGGTGTCTACTCAATCCCAGCACACTGGCTGACTTACCACTCAACAGTTAGCTGAAATAAAGCCTGCGTGCCAGGCACGGTTCTAGATGCTGGGGATAGACTGGTGCAAAAAAAATCAAGTCCCCACCCGGGACTTGGATGGACATCTGGCCAGCGTCCCATATTGGGATGTCTGGGTTTGAGTTACACCCGGCTACCAACTCCAGCTTCCTGCCTGTGCAGACCTGGGATGGCTCAAGTACTTGGGTCCCAGCCACTCACATGGGAGACCTGGACTGCATTCCTGGCTCCTGGCTTTGGCCAGGCCCAGCCACAGGCATTTGGGGGAATGGACCATGAAAGGGAGGTGTCTATTTGTCTTGCAAATAAATAACATTTTAAAGAGTCCTTGACCCATGGTGCTCATCTCATTCCCCTCGCTTCCTGGGCATTGCAACAGTCTCGAAAGCAGCCTGATTTTAGAGCCTCAGGGGCACTCAGAGGTTAGACAGCCAGACAGAGACTAAATCATAAACACATCTCCAAACTTGGAAACCTGAATCAGCTCCCAAGAGTCTGTGGGCCTGGTTATTCGGCTAGGGGGCGAGGGCCTCGTGCTGTCCTCCCCACCTCCCTGCTCTGCATCTTAAGCACTCAGCTTCCTCACCTGGCCAGCTCCTTCTCTGCCTCCCACTGCTTTGCTCTGCTGCTCCACACTCCCTTGGGCTGGGGAGAGGTCTTCCCTTCGCCCACCCCTCCTCCGATCTCCCCTTCTACTGTATTTCCCCTGCCCTCCAGCCTGCACCCTGGACAGGGAGCTGTGGTCCTGCCATGGGGACTTCTTGGGCCTTGGGACAAGGAGCTCGGTGACTGGTGACTCTCCTGCTCTCCCAGAGGGGAACTGACATCCCAAGGGGTCCCTCAGAAAATTAGAAGCCGAGCCAGGAGTAGGGTGCTGGGGTCCTCACCTCTGGTCCTGGATCTCCCTTCCCCTACCCCCTCAACTTCCTAGAAAAGATTTCACCTTTCTCCTGGCTCCTGACTCTCCTCTACCCCTCATCAGTGTCCCTTAATTCCCAGGAAGCATCTGATAGCCAGGACAGAGGAAGATCGCTAAGTTACAGTGATGTTTTTTCCTTATCTGGAATGTAAAAGACCTGTGTTGTAGCCCTGGCTGGCCTGTACCCACTGAAAAGCATCCTGACACCTCTTTGATCACTCACAGGTAGGTGCACCTGCTCAATTGTCCTGTGGCGCCTGTCCTTGCCACCTGCTGCCCCCAGCTAGCGTGTGGAGGTAGGGCTGGCTCTGCTCCCCTCACCATCCCCACCGGGATTGGAAATGGGCACAGCCAGGGTCTGTGGGGGGCTGCCCGGCTCACCTTCTCCTGAATGCTGCCGTTGAGTCTTCTCAGCGTCTCCTGAAAGTTCTGGTTCCGTGGCTCGAGGGTGGCACAGCGCTGAACGTCCTTGAAGGCCTGGTCCAGCTTCCCCAGGTGCTCCAGCGCCTGGCATCGCCGGTACAGAGCCTTGATGTCCGAGGAGTTGATGTCGATGGCTATAGGGGTGGGGTGGGGGACAGGCGATGCCTCAGGGGGTCAGGCTGTGGACCCCCTCCCCTCCTGCTCTTGCCAGGCTTCTCTGTCCTCCTGGAGGCTCCCCATGCATGTGGACTGCCTGGCCCACTTTCCCTTTAGCAGGATGGGACAGGAGCTCGGGGAACGATTCATCCAAGTCCTGACGTTCCAAGCCCTGCTACAGGATCCCCACCAAGGGCTCATCCATTGCTTGCATACCCCCAGCAACGGGGAGCTCCCTCCTCCTCCAGGCAGCTCCACCAGAAGCCCCTCCACCTTCCCATCTGAAATACGCCCCCTGCTGCAGAGATGCAGTCCAGTCCTGCTGTGACAGCCTCTCAGGCATGGGGAGGCCTAGCTCCAGCCCACCTGGGAGCCGCTTTCTCTGGGCTGAAAACTTGCTGCTCCCCCTGTGCCTCTCCACAGGATGGCTTTTCACACCTTCCCCAGCTCATTCCCTTCTTTGCAAACTCACTTCAGTTTCTCCCTCACCCCACCCCCACCCCCCAAAAAATCAAAACCCAAGACAGACCATGCGGAGGCGAGGGGGTGAGGGCAAGGTCGGGGGTGGGGTAGGGCTGCCCACCTCGGGAGGCGTCTGCCGCGGCCTGGACGTAGCTCTCCTGCAATGCCAGACGGAGACAGAGACTTGGTGAATGAGGGCCCCGTGCAGGGCACTGCAGCCGTGAGGGTGGCAAGGGGTAGCTGGGGAAGCTGCAGGCTGCTGGACACCCTGGGGTGCACCCATCCCTGGGCATGAAAAGTGGACAGGTTCTGGCATCAGATGAACCTGGGAGTCAGGCCCAGCTCTGTTACCACTGGGAGAGCCCAGGCAGGGGGACGATGCCCTCGGAGGCCTGAGGCTCTTATCTGCCGGAAGTGGGTATCAACAGGGCTCACAGGGCTGATCTTAAGATGCCGTGAAATTGCACCCACAAACAGCTCCTGCGCGAGCCTCAGGCTGCCCTGCGTGAGTTTCTGTCTCCCCAGGGAGTGGGCACACTGAGGCCCCACTGAGGGGTCCAGACGGGCGGCTGGGACGATGGCCGACTCAGGGGCTGCCCCCCACCCCAGGGCCCTCAGCCCCACGCCTGGCCCATCCTGCCCCTGACCGTTTTCAAGCCACAGGCTGCCCGGTTGCGGTAGAGCGTGGCCAGCAGGGCCTTGTCCTTGGTCAGCTTCAGGGCCTGGCTGTAGCTCTTTGTCGCCGCCTTGTAGTCCTGGAGCTGGAAGTGCTGGTTCCCCTCCTCCTTCAGCTTCACCGCTTCTGCCTCCGCCATCTGTCAGGACAGGGCCAGCCCCTTGCTCCAGACCCAGGGCTGGGATTCTGGCCTGCAGTCCCAGCTCCTGGTCCATCCCACCATGGTGGATTCTGCCTAGGAGGGACCCACCCTCAGTGCCCCTAAATCATTGCCCCAGACAGCCATTAGGACATTTGTTTGGCCTGAGAGGGGTCTCAGGGTCCCGATGCCTCGCCCTCTGACCCTCCCAGCCAGCCTGTGTGGGCAGGTGGGTGAAGCCACCTTGCCAGAGGCCCGCCGTCCCCCCGCCCAGCTCACATTGCCTGTGGTGGCTCTGTCGTTGCTCTGTGATGCTGCTCCTCCGAGCTGCCCCGTCACCTCCAGCCAGCCAGGCCCAGCCCGCCCGCCCAGCCCTTTATCACCCCTGCCAGTGGCTCCAGACCATATTTGTCCACAGGGGCAGGTGGCCCTGCAGTCTGTCATGGATCCTAGGGGCCCTCCCCCTCCCCAGACTGGACAGAGGGGACCACGTGGAGGCACTGATTAGCCTGTGCCCCTGGGGCTTAGGGGCAGTCCTGGGGGTGGTCATGGGCTCACAGCCCAAGAAAGAGAAAGATCCAGAAGGGAGGGGCACTCCCCCTCCCCAAGCACAGCACCCCCCCCTCCCGCCCCGTGCCTCCGCCACCTCCGCCCCACATAAACAACCTCCTTGCCCACCCCAGCTGCTGCTATTTTGGGCGCAGAGTGACAGCTGAGGGGCTGACAGACAGAGCAGTTGCCCAGGTCCCGCACCAACTGGAGGCTTCCAGAAATGCCTCTCTGGAGGGAGGGGGGAGAGAGAGGGGAGGCTCGCAACACCTCTGCCCGACCTCTGCCTTCCCGTGTTGAAAACGCCCTGCTTTCCAAGGCTGGCAGGACTTGTCTCAGCCAAGTGGGCTGTGGCAGGGCTCCGGTTGTCTCCTGGCCCTCTCCCCCTCCTGAGTGGGCAAAGCGATGCAGTGGGGAGCTCCCTGGGGGGGGGGGGGCCTCTGCACCGCCCCCATTGGACTGACCTCTCCCACGACAGGGGCTGAGTCAGCTGGGCACTCCCTGAGACCAAGGTCTGTACCCCACCCCCAGCCAACCTGTTGCTCTCCTGGGACCAGCCGCCCCTCCTCCCATCAGAAGGGGGTCTTCCTAGGTATTCACTATCACAGAGGACTGATTGCTCCTCCTCTATCTGCAGCTTCCCCAGGACTCGCGAGGCTGCCTGCCCCCACTTGGACTCCCTGCTTGTCAGGGTCTCCAAACCTGGGACAGGAGCTCCCTCCCAGAGGGCGGGGACAGCACCTCCGGCAGCTTGGCTCCTCCCCATGCCCAGCACAGAGCCTGGCTGAGCTGGGGCCCCATGTGCTCAAATGAATGAATGAATGAACAAACACATGGATGGCGTCTTCCTGCTGATTGGCACCGCTCACCTCCCTTCCATGCCTTCCCGCCCCTCCCCCACACACCTTCAACCTTAACTGATGATGAAGACCGAGAAAGACATGGAAGAAAATGCACAGGGAGGGGCCGGCGTGGTGGCGTAGTGGGTTAAGCCTCTGCCTGCAGTGCTGGCATCCCATATGGATCGCTGGCTCGAGTCAGAGAACAGTGGTTCTGTGACTTCAGGTCCAAGGGACCCCAGACTCAAACCCTGATCCAGTAATTCATTCTACAGGCATTTCTTAAGCATCCACTGTGTGCCAGGAACTGTAGAGGGTGGCATGACCGTGTTGATGAGCCCTCCTTAAGGCTCAGGAGGGCTGGAGTCTGTTCACTGACTGGTCCAAGCGTCTGCAATAGTGTGTGGTACACAGGAGGTGCTCAGTGATGGATCTGTGACTTCTACGTGAAAGACAAGTTTTGCAAACAGCGTGGAAATAGGCATCATTGCAGAGAAGGCTTCCCTGAGCACGTGGGTGCTCAATGCATTTGTTGGATGGATGAATGAATGAATGAATGAATGGTTAAGGCAAGACTTGAGGAGTGAGGCGCTACTCCTGTCTCAGTCAGCACCACAGACTGGGAGGCTTAGACAGCATAGGGGCTGCCACTGGGCATGATTTCTGGTGAGGTCTCTCTTGCCAGCTCTCAGACACTGGGTCCTTATGTGGCCTCCTCTCTGTGAGTGCTTCAGGCAGGATGCAGTAAGGGAGGACTGAGAGAGAGAGCTCCAGGTCCCTTGCTCTTTTTTTTTATATATATATATATAGATTTATTTATTTGTTTCAGAGTTACAGAGAGAGAGAGACAGAGAGACAGAGAGATTGTCCATCCTGCTGGTTCACTCCCCAAATGGCTGCAATGGCTTGAACTGTGCCAGACTGAAGCCAGGAGCCAGGAGCTTCTTCCAGGTCTCCCACATGGGTGCAGGGCCCAAGCACTTGGGTCATCTTCTGCTACTTTCCCAGACACGTAAGCGAGGAGCTGGATCGGAAGTGGAGAAGCCAGGACCCAACATGGCGCCCATATGGGATGTTCACTGGACCTTTATTACCTCCTTGTAGGGCCTATTTCCTTAATTTTTTAACTTATTTTATTTATTTGAGAGACAGAAGGGAGATTTCCCTTCTGCTGGTTCACTCCCCACTTACCCTGGATGGCCAGGGCTGATCCAGCCTGGAGGCGAGATGTGGGAACTCAGTCTAGGTCTCCCACCTGAGCGCCAGGCACCTAGTTATTTAGACCATCATCTGCCTTCCAGGGTAGGTGTTAGTAGGAAGCTGGAATCTGGATCGGAGCTGGGATTCAGACCTAGGCACTCTGATATGGAGCATGGGCATCGCAAGTGACGTCCAAAAAGCTAGGACAAGTGTCTGCCCCTCCTCCTCCTTGCACATATGTATTAGGGGTGGGGGTGAGGATGAGACACAATTCACTCCCTAACGGTCCCAGATGGAGGGAGAAACTACATGTGCAAAAACATTGATGGAGTTGGGCCATGCAGGTGCAGGGGCCCAAGGACTTGGGCCATCTTCTGCTTTTCCCAGCAGAGAGCTGAATCGGAAGTGGAGCAGCCGAGACTCGAACCAGCATCCATACGGGATGCTGGCATTGTAACTGGCAGCTTAACCAGCTACGCCAGAGCGCCGGCCCCAGATTACTTTTATTTTTTTAAAGCTGTCCCTGGCTGCAGAGTGGAGGATGGCCGTGGCAGAGGCTTGGGGGAAGCGACATAGACTCCACGCAGAGCTGGCCCGTGGGAGTCGGGGAGAACAAGTCGAGGCTTGTCAGTGAGGCAGAGCCGCGGGAGGCTAAGAAGGCCTGGGCAAGGACTCCCTCTGTGTCCGTATCTCCCGTGTAAAATCGGGAGGAAATCATGTGAGCGTTTGCATATAAAACACAGCAATGCCTGACCCAGTGCTGTCCTAATGGAAGAAATTGTGCTCATCACTGCGATCAACTGACTCGACCCGTTCCAAAGTAATCGTTTCTGCCTTGAATCCAGTAGTTAGTTTCTGGCTTTTGAAAGCCACCGCTTCGGCTCCTACCTGCCTCTCTGCCCTCAGGGAAACGGATTAACCTCTCAGCGCCCGGGGTAAGCTAGGCTGCCAACCACAGGGGGAGGACCCCGCGGTGAAGCCGCCTCCTCCTGCCGCGTGCTACTTCTACCCCGCAACACCAGAGGGCGCCGTGGCTAGCTGCGGCCCCAGCCTGGCCACGGAGGCGGCGCTCTGGCCCGCGGCAGTCAGTCTCCTCCACGTGCGGACGCAGGATGGCGGCGGCGGCGGCGGTGGGTGTGCGCGCTCGGGGGTCCCCCCGAGCCCGAGGGAGGAGGTCAAGTTGGGGCTGGCGGGGCGGCGCGGCGGGGCTGATGACCGCCCGGCTTGTTGGCGCAGGAGGAGGCGGCGGCGCACGACGTGCAGCGGCTGCTGGTGCAGTTCCAGGATGAGAGCGGGCAGCTGCTGGGCGCCCCGTTCGACGTGCCCGTGGACATCACTCCGGACCGGCTGCAGCTTGTGTGCAACGCGCTGCTGGCCCAGGTGAGCGGCGGGGTTCCCGAGGTGGAATCCGCGCCCGTGGGGCCGGCCGTCGCGGCCGCCTGCGGGGTTGTCCCGTTTGGTTGGTTTCTCGTCACAGCCCTGAGTCCCGCAGGGATTAAATTACTGGCGTGTGCCGCGTGCTACAGGGCGTTGGACTTGGAGCTCCCAAGTCTGTCAGACTCAGAACCCTGCCCTTAACCTTTCAACCGGGGGTCTCTGGCGGTGCTGCCCTCTGTTTGTGGGGAGGTGGTGTGTGTGCTTGAAATCGCAGATCCTGGCCCCCGCCCCGGACCTGGGGGTGGGAGGACGTGAGTGTGTAGCAACAGTCTGCATTTTTCGCTAGTCCTTTGGATGTTTCTTAGGCAAATACAGGACGGTGTGGGAGTTGTCATTACCAGCGGGAGGTTGAGCCAGCTACTAAGTTGCTCAGAGCCTCTGTTGTTTGATTGATTGTTTTTAAAATCAAGTGAGGTTACTAGCATGTGCGAGATCCAGGTAGAGGATTTCACAGTGCATGACAGGTGGCCCCCGGTGCTCAGTGGGACGTGATGGGAGTATCCCAAGGAGAAGGAAGCCTCACTTCCCCACAGCCCCGGGGGCGGTGACACCTGCACCCTATCCTGGAGGTGTTGCCTTTACCTTGCCCCCCAGGAGGAGCCCCTGCCACTGGCTTTCTATGTCCACGATGCTGAGATCGTGTCCTCGCTGGGGAAGACGCTGGAGTCCCAGGCAGTGGAGACAGAGAAGGTGCTGGACATCATCTACCAGCCGCAGGCCATCTTCAGAGTCCGCGCCGTGACCCGCTGCACCAGCTCCTTAGAGGGGCACAGTGAAGCGGTCATTTCTGTGGCCTTCAGCCCCACGGGAAAGTAAGGACAGCTGCAGAATGGCGGAGGAGGATGGGGGGGGGCTCTGACTGCAATGGGGAGGGTCCCCCAGGTTATGGTGAGGCATCGTGCTTTGGGCTCAGGTTGCAAGTAGGGGACTCCCCTAGTGCCGTGGACTTGGGGAGATTGGAGCTGCACACTCAGCTGTGTGGCTGTGTGGCTCGCACATCATGTAAGCTTTCTGGGTTCATGTTTTCCCCTGTGCTACTGGGATTAATTTCCTCACTGGTTATAGCTGCAGGAGAGAAGAGGGGGAGGAGTAACCTCCTGGGTCTTTTCCCAAATGGCACAATGTCATATTTCTCCTTCTTGGGGGAAGAGGGGAGAGGAAGGAGTCCAGTACCAGATTCCGTGCCCCACCCCCCTTTATTTTTCCTTAAAGATGGTAAGGCAGACTTTATTCAAGGAGTCCCATGGCCACAGGACAGGGGCCACTGCACCAGGGTCTTGCAGGGGAGGGGAGAGGTTGGAGTCAGATTCTGTCCACAGAAGGTAACTGAAGGGAATGGCCCACACGTGGGGTCGCAGGGCGGGCCCCACTG